GAGCAACACTTCAGCTTCAGGTCGAGCTTCAGAATTGGCATGAATGCTTTAAGGAGTATGTTGCAGCACAAAAAGCATACGTTGAAACTCTCCATGGCTGGCTGACCAAGTTCGTGGTCCCTGAAGATGAATTCTACTCTAGGAGCAGGAGTTCAGCTGTGCCATATGGGGTCAATGGTCCACCATTGCTTGTGATTTGCCGTGATTGGTTGGTTTCCGTGGATAAATTACCGGATAGGGCAGTCACCATTGCCTTGAAAAGCTTCACAAAGGACGTGAGGGCTCTGTCTCTTCAGCAAGGGGAAGAACAGCAACAAAAAAGGAAAGTTGACAGCCTAGCAAAAGAGCTTGACCGGAGAATTCTATCATTCCAGAAGACAGAGAGCAGGCTTCTTGAGCCAAAGCTTACAGAACACAAATGCGAGTCAGATATGGAACAACAGAGTGAGTCCTTGACGGAGAAGAAGGAGCAGCTAGACATGTTCAGAAGAAAGCTGGATGTGGAGAGGGAAAAACACCAAAATTACATGAAAGAAACTCAAAGGATCACATTGAAAGGATTTCAAACTGGGTTTTGTGCAGTTTTTGAGTCCTTGTCCGAGTTCTCCAAGGCTTCTCAAAAAATGTACAATGAACTAGTTACTTGCAGTGAAAATGCAGAAAAAGTAGGGAACCCAGCATATATAGAAGGCACAAAGCATGAAGAAAATAGCAGCAGGTGACATATGGGCTTTTGAGAATTTGGAACTGTGGATTGTATTTGTATATATATTGTGTCCAAGCCGCTCGCTGAGACACAATTATTTTAAGTTTTTAGGGATGGTCTTGTATTGTAGCAACGAATTGTTAAATGTTGCTATATTTAGTTGTTATGATTGGTATCTGCAACTCTCATGGTAGACTTCTTTGTTTCCAAATGAACAGAACTTTCTCCATGGTTTCATACAGTTCTGACTTCTGAGCACGTTAAAATTGCATCACCTCAGACGGTTGTGGCGTGTGACTGATTTAGGGCCGATGCATGTGAGTATCACAATATACAGTTTTGACGCCTAGAACATCAAAATTGCATCATGGTTGCGGAGGTTTATACAGAAGGAACGTGATTCCCCTTGTTAAACCCACATGCATCTACTGTCAGAAACCATCCACCCGCATCCGAACAACGTACCTCAGCACTCTTGTAAGAATTTCAGAAAGGCACTGACTTGTCGTCATATGTGAATTTAAGGGCTGTGGACATCATTCCCACTGGAAAAGCAAAAGCAAATCGTGCAAAATTGGACAAAAAGATGGAGCTGCCTACGCCTACGCATCTTTTCATGCTCCTCCAGATTGGTTATTACAGCTCAAATATCTTCCCCGTCCTATTCACGGCTCCAAGTTTGATAATAATTATGCAAAAATTATTCATTTTGTAGAATTACGGTTGCCTAACTCGATAAATAACCCACTAAAAGCCAATGAATCAAACTTGTCCCACGATTCTACTCCACCAAGGGCCCATGGGCTTCAATTCCTTGGCTTTCAATTCAGCCACGAGTTTCCTTGGTGGCCACAGACGTCGAGCTCAGAGATCTACCAAGCAATCAACACACTACCTTCTATCACCATCCTTTTTATTCCAACTCTCAGTATAAGCGAATGACTTTTTACAAGAGTAGATTTTAGGAAACTCAGGTTGATCACAATGTCTATGGAGTGCCATTAGCATTCTGGTTAGACGGAATCGACAAAGGCTCATACAGGTACATAACAAGCGCTTGGCAGGAGAATTGGAAGCTAAATCTGATCTTACGAGTTGGTGAATGGGAGTTCGGAAACCACATTTAGAGCTTTCAACTCCTGAACTCCAAAAAGTAGGGACCTAAGGATACAAAATAACATAGAAATAAAGTTCTTAAATCCCGAAAGGTTGGAAAGAGCAACTCCCGGATCCGAATAGAAAAGAGGAAAAGGATGACGGAGAAACAGGTAAGGGAAAGCGAGAGAGAGAGAGAGAGGGAGTGTGTGTGTGAGCGAGTAAGTGAACGAGAAGTTCCACTACTTTCTATTGTTAGTTTTGTACATGTAATGATACACATCCTAAAAAAAAAAGCATGGGTATGATCATGCCAACGAATAATTACAGATTTCACATATAAGTTGCGGGTACAATGCTCCTTTACCTTAAATATAGGGAGACCACTAATTGCAAAAAAATTATAAATTCACTTACTACAGCAGCCGGAGAGTGGATGCCAAGAAATGGAACAATGTCTACCTGCAGAAAATTCTCTACTGCTGAGCCCACCACGGCACCAGCAACAAGCCCCCCTATGGTTATGATAGTCGCCTTCCCTGCAAAGATGAACAGAAAATCACTCCAAAGTACAACATGCCTAAGATCAGATTAGAAAAAAACACACACAAAAACTGAGGAGAATGAAGTATAGGAATTTCCCTCTTTTTCATTTTCAATAACCCAATGCAATTACGTTCTTTAGATTCACTGTACCATATTAAAAGAATGCAGATATCCAGCTCAAATGCCCAAATGGCAGGTGAGAAATACTCTTTAGTTAACAAGAGATCGCTACTTTCAAACCACTTTCTTATGCAATGGTTAGGGACACATTGGATCCACCATTATCAAAGTTGAAGGTAGATAACCTACCTAAATAAACAAATCCTAGATTTCCATTCATGATTATGAGACTATCACATAGAAACTTTCAAGTATTCTCCAATGACTTACAATCTAATAAGCAGTAATAAAGAGAAGTCTGTACAGAAGAAAACTACATACCTAACTTAATATTCTTTTTGGTCATGAAGTACAAGGAAGCTCCAAAGCTACCGGCCAGGATCAGTCCAGGAACATCAGCCCCTCCATATGGCCCCAGAGAGGAACTGGAAGCTCCATTGACATAAGTTAAGGCCATCAAAGCTCCATATACACCAGCTTGTACGCCCAGATCACTAGTTGAGGGTGTTTCAACTGCAATGGGTGGATTCTTCACATTAGCCTGCAACCACTGAGGCACTGATCTAATTCCAGGAGCACTCACCGGCTTAACATCAGCATAACGAACGCTACTATTCACAACTTTACCCGCTCGTCGCTGAGTCAAGCTTCTCATAAGTAACATGTCGTATGCAGCTTCAACCTAAACTAATTAATATTAGTGATAAGGAAATCATAATTAGGGTACAAAATGCCAAACCAAAACTAGTGACCACCATAATATATGCTTGTGATATTTACCAAAAAAATACCATCATTCATAGCTTGTTTGCAAGCATTAAATATACTCATTTGCAATGGTCCTAAAATCAAATATTATATCAAATAAACGAGTAAAACAAATGAAACTATTCACTCTACAAATTCTAAGCATTTAAAATAACATATTAATACGAAACTTACTAATTAATATGCTCAAATTTACGTGAACTAGAGCTAGAGTGAATTGACCAAAAAAAAAGAAAGAAAGAGCTAGAGTGGCTAAACTTAAACATTATTCAATAAATTCCACATTAAAAACTCAAATCTCTCCAATTTTGCAGGAATTGATTAGTTCGACTTCAACCCACTTTGATTTGTAGAAAACCCAGACAAATCATACAAAGTGATTGACATAAAGTCGAAAACTTTTTTGAAGTTGAATGGAAAATGAGGAGATATAGCAACCTGCGCAATCGCCTCCTGGTCATCTTTACAAGCATCGACAATCGAGTTCTTGGCGCGAAGAATTTCATCGAACGACGCGCCGTCTGATACGCCGAGGAGCTTCAGGGCGCTCTCCACCGACATCTCGAACGGCGCCGAGTCGTCGGCTCTAGAGCCGGCGTGGACAAGAGTGGCGGCCCAGGCTAATGTGCGGTTGGAGGGGACGATAGAGCCTCTCCAGGGCTCGATTTGCACGTCGGATTTTCGGAGGCGGGCCGGGCCTGGCCGTCGAACCGGTGGCCGAGGGAAGGATGAACCGGCGGAGAGGCGGTTGGGCCGGACCGAGAGAGTGGCTGCCATGTGTTCGGAGAAATGTGAGGCTGGATTTGGTGCGAAACGTGCGTGGCGATATGGGGCTTTGGTCATAAAAGCAAACAGTTTGGTTTAGAATGTTGCGTTTGGCTGAGTCTTTGCGGTTGGGTGGGTCATCTATAATTGTGGACCGTTGATCGACATGTCATCGGATTTAAAGGATGACCAATGAATACTTTGTATTATTATTGCCTTTGATCTATATTTATTTTAATCAACATGGAAATTGGAACTTGGTAATTATTTTAACGTTGAAAAGAAAGTTACACTTCTTTTAAGAGTGTGCATGATCTACGGAAAGACGTATGCTAATTACCAAAGGAAGAGAAGAGAGCCATAAGATAAGATGGAAGTTTACATTTTCTATCATGTATATAATTTTAGTCATAAGATCGTCTCACACATTTTATGTCACTTGAGTTAAAACTCGTTAACATTTCAATCTTTAATCATAGGTTTAAAAAAAAACTCATGATGTATGCATGATATGCATCAATGCAATCATTGTTGTTGATTGTTTATATTTTTTTACAACTAGACGAGTTGGGTTAGTATTCAATCATTCCACATGATTCATTAAACAAATCAGGTCAGAAATTATAGTATCTGAAAGAAAAAACTCGAAATAACATGATACAAACATGATTCATTAACACAGATTGTGACCCCTACCCCCAATTTGTTTAATCGTATTTGCATAATTCCTAGCTTACTTTTCATCATTGTTCTTCATAGCTTTATAGTTTCAGCTTCAAACTTATAAACTTGGTTGGTTTAGTGATTTACCCACAGTCAGAAAAAAAAGAAAAAAACAAAAAAGAAGTTGGTTTAGTTTAATCAATTTGTCACTTGGTCTGGCTAATACACCAAACAAATAAATCACCATAATAATATATCTAAAATTTAATCATTATCTAGGCAATAATAATTCTAGAATATATCTAAAATTTAATCATTGTTCTTCTTTATCGTGTGGGTCCCGTCCAAGTTAGCGGGTTTTGGCGCCACACATCGTTTCCTGGATATCGGTTGCAGAACTCCGCACAACCCACAAGCCATAAACATGTTACTTGGCACGCTTATGGCCAGAGCCGAAAAAAGAAAGCAGAAAGACATGCTAATCGTTAATCGTTATCGTTAGTTACCCAAAAGGTGGGAACTCAATTTGGAAACGATGTCGTTGGCTTGTTGTTGGAGGCTCACTCTGACGTTCCCACCAACCACGCAACGTTTCTCTAGCAGAAGCCGAAGTGGGTTTCGTTGCAGAGCTTATGCTGAACAAGACCATGCAGCAGCCAATGGAAGCTCAAACAAGAAGGAAACGAAGAAGGTTGTCGTTGTTGGCTCTGGCTGGGCTGGCCTTGGCGCTGCTGACCACCTCTGCAACCAGGTCCAATCTCTCTCTCTCTCTCTCTCTGCTTCATGTTTAAGTGGGTGAAATTTGAGTGTCTAATTTGGTATTTATTTGCAGGGTTTTGATGTCACTGTTCTTGAAAGTGGTAATGACTTGGATAGACTTGAAGAAGTTGGTATCCGAGGTAACCAATCAATGTTTTGCCTTGGATTTTCGATTTTGGAAAATGGGTTTTGCTTATTGTGTTCTTTTTATTTCATATTTGATTTATAAGATTGGTTTTTTACACACCCTTTTTTATTTTTGAGAAGCCCAAAGTAAGCATTTTTATGGCAAGTAGAAAGTTCACATAGTTCAATTCTGCTATGTTTTGTAGGTTATTGGTATCCCTACCAGAACATTTTCAACCTTGTTGATGAGCTGGGTATCAAACCCTTCACTAACTGGACAAAATTTGCACAATATTCAGCAGAGGGATTGGAGGTAATCAATTGACATCTTGCTTTTGGTTTCTGTGTTCAAACACGGCTTCCTGGTTAGTTTCTTGTTCCTGTTGAGATTGCGTTAGAGGATTTGGAATGTGTTAATGGGAGGCAGGAACATTCTGCAGGTTGAATTTCCAGTATTTCAAGACCTTCCTCAATTGCCAACTCCACTGGGAACCTTATTCTATACACAGGTGTAATTTGCTTTGCACCCTTATGTCTCATTTCTTATTCCATTGGAAAAATTTAGCAGCTTTGTGTTGATCAATATAGGTTATATCCTGTGCAGTTTGTTCAGCTTCCATTGGTTGATAGATTAACTACGCTTCCCTTAACGGCGGCAGGTATAGTCTCCTACCAAAATGTGGAATTTAATTTTAAATGCTTAATTAGTGAACATTTATCTGCCAAAGGAGCTTGTAGGAAGTCGTAGTGAGTTCTGTTAATCAGTTATTCCATTGTTTCTTTGTTCGAAAAGGCAAAAATAGATCACAAATTATGATTGTGTGAGCGAATGTTGGAGGAAATTGTTGAATTGTAGTACATCACATCTTACAAATCCTGCACATATCAACTCATCTGTGCCTTTTCTTTACAGTGATCGATTTTGACAACACGGATACAGCCTGGAGAAAATATGATTCAAGTAAGGCTCTATATGTCAGGAGCTCTATGGAGTTCCATCGTTTGGATAATGATTTGTTACATGTGATGGATAAACTCAAACTTAAGTCTTATTAAGAGTTTTAACTGGTAGTTACCGCAAGGGAGCTTTTTAAGCAGTTTGGCTGCTCAGAAAGGCTTTATCAGAATGTCTTATCGCCATTACTTCAAGTGGGTCTCTTTGCTCCAGCAGAACAATGTAGTGCTGCTGCAACTCTGGGCTTCCTGTCTTACATCCTTGCTCACCAGGTATGATTAAATGAATTACTTTCTGGAGTAAGAAGGATCTTTGCTCATGATTCTTACAGACCATCTGCTAAATATCTGTTCACTCGAACTCTTCCTTTTGCCAAATACTAGAGTAGATATATTTTACCCATAACGAGAATCTTAAAGTACATTTATTTGTCACTTTTGAGAAATATTTTTTTTTTTCATCCTTTCTCCTAATTATCAACTAAAATCCTAATTTTGTTGATGTGTATAGAAAGATTTTGATCTTGTATGGTGTCGTGGAACAAGTAGAGAAAGGATTTTCAAGCCCTGGATGGAGTCTTTGACGGCTAAAGGCTGCAAATTCGAGAAGCGTATAAGAGTAACAGACTTCTTAATTAATGAGGAAACAGGTTGTGTTTCAGCAGTAATTTGCGGTAAAGAAATTTATAATGCTGATGCTGTTGTCTTAGCTATTGGAATCTCCACTCTTCAAAAACTTATTGAAAATAGGTATTGTTTTATCGAATTTCAGAATGTAAAATTCATTCTGTCTTATGTCCAATGTTTACTTGATTTGGGTTCTTTTGGTTGAAAGAAGCTATAGGTTAGTATTGCACTGCAAACTGTCATTGAGCAATAATGTTAAAAAGTACAGTGAAAACTAGATTCATTCTAACTATCATCCACATGAAAGCCTAAACAATAATTTTATCCGAATAGATCTTCGTGCATCTTAGAGTTTCAATTGACCCTATTGCTGCTATTCTACCTTAATTGGCAGTACTTGAGTTCTGTATAGTGCAGTGTTGTGTACAAGGGAGGAGTTTCTTAAGGTTTTGAACTTGGCTAGCATTGATGTACTCTCTGTTAAGCTCTGGCTCGATAGGAAGGTGAGTTCAGTGGAAGTCCAATTTCAACATCACTTCCTTCTCTATATATTATGTGGGAAGGGTAATTTTATGAAATTTTTATGAGCTGCACCAAACCTAGCCTGCTGCTTATTTCTGAACTTTCTCCTTTGCTTTAGTTTTTCAAATATAGAATATCTACCTTACTAGTTAGCCACTTTGATTTGGATAGTTTTTATAGATTAAATATGCTAGTAAAAGGGTATTTTTCCAGTTATGCTTTGACAGAGCTGATTCTGTGTTGTAAACTCCACACATAACCAGGTTAACATTCCAAATGCAAGTAATGCTTGCTCTGGATTTGATGATTCATTTGGGTTGACTTTCTTTGATTTGAATGCAATCCATGACGAATATAAAGATAGTTCGGTAACAGTGTTACAAGCTGATTTTGTGAGTATCTTCATGTGTTTCTTTCTTCTCTGATCTTGTCATTATTCACACAATTTACTTTAGAAGTTAAATCTTATCTCTAGTTTGTCTCAAATGTCTGATGAGCAGTATCGTGCCAATGAGTTGTTGCCGCTGAAGGATGAACAAATTGTTTCCAAGGTGACATCTTACCTGTCAAACTGCATCAAGGACTTCAAGAATGCTACTGTGACAGATAAGGAGATTGGCAGATTTCCAAACTCCTTGACTCACTTCTTTCCTGGTAAAAGTTTTTATGGCATGACCTATATCCTGTCTTATTATACGAATCAGATTGTTTAGCTACGGCATTAAAGTAAACTAACTGTATTATAAAGGGCACATTTCTGTGGTAAGAATGAACTAAGGGAAGAATGACTTTATCAGATGGTAAATTATACTTTTGTTCACAACAACAGTTTCTTTTTCTCAGTTGTGTCCTCTCTTAACAGGCTCATATAAGGACATGATGCGTGGCTCTACATCTTTCCCGAACTTGTTCATGGCCGGAGACTGGATTATAACCCGACACGGTTCATGGTCACAGGTTAAAGATTCATACTAACCGTTATTCTTATCTTCATGGATCAAGATAAATGCAGAAAAGCTGAAAATATGGTTTGCTGCATTTCCTTCACAGGAGAAATCTTATGTCACGGGACTTGAAGCTGCCAACCGCACAATAGACTATCTTGAAGAAGGAAGCTTTGCTAAAATCATACCTGTAGAGGAAGATGAACCTCATATTCAAGCACTTCGCAGCCTTAACAGAAGCTTCAATGAGATCACAGCACAATTTCCATTGTCTAGTTACTTCCTCCAATGAACTTGTCTGTTTGATTTTCTCTTTTTGCTGCATTTTTATGCCCATCTACCTATTCTTACCATTGAATACAGAAATCTTATAAAACACAGTTATGAACCTTATCATTTCATGAATTGAGTGTTTGAATTGATTGGCCTATGGGGTATGCATGAAAGTCATGGTAGTTGCTAAGTTATTAGTCTAAAGAGTTATTGACTGAAATGGTCCTCCAATTTTTGCTCCAGTCTCATTTCGGCCCTCCCACTAAAATTTTCATTTCAATAGTCCTCCAACTCTCCATTTAGTATCAAAATGGTCCTACCGTCAAAGTCTGTCAATTTTGCCATTAAATACAGGGGTAACCGTAAAACCGTCCACATGTTGAAAACTCCTCCAATTAGAACCCTAGCTCCATATGTGGAGAGGTGGGCTTCATGAGTTTCTCAAAAACTTTATTCTTCTTTTACCACTTTGATTCGGGTGGGCGTGTTTCAATATGCAGCAGGGCCTCTTTTTCCTTTTTCTTGTCCAAACGGCGTCGTTTTGTCCAGGTCAGCTTAAAAATTGCCTGGGCCAAAACGACGTCGTTTTGACCAGGTGTTTTTTAAAAGAACAAAAAAACACAAACTGTTGTGCGCAGCTTGCAGCTTGCAGCTTCGTCTTCTCTATGGCTGCCAAGGAGAATCAGGGACGTCCAAGCCAAACTCAGGGCTGCCATGGGGTCGTCTGGCTCCGCACGAATATAACAAAAAAAAAAAGTGAAGAAAGAGAGAGATGAATGGATGAGAGAGAGGGATGCGGAAGAGACGAGAAAATGGTTGCAGAACATTTTTTAATATTTAAAATTGAAAGTAAAATTAGTTGCCAGCTGTAGACATTTTATTGGCTTGGGATACTTATGTGGTTTGGGGGTCGAAGCCAAGGGTTTAAGGCGAGTGTTCAAATTCGAAGGAGAGTCTTCAGACTCGAAAGGACGTTTTTACCTCTCATTTTGACGGATTCAGTTACGGTATGACCTAATTGCACCTTATTGTCTAATTAAATGACGAAATTGCCACGAAATTTAGTTCGCGGACCCAATTGCAACTGGGGCCATAGTTCACGGACGTCTACAGTAATTAACCCTTGAAAATAACAAAGGAAAACAGGGCGGACGTAGCTCGACGTTTCCAATCCACAACACACCCAATCATCGTCACCAAAGTCTCGGATCTGCAACATTTGGTGAACGTTCGGAGGGAAGAGCACTGGGTTGGAGGAAGCCGTATCCGAATCCCGGGGTTCGTCGAACCCAACATTGCATTGGAGATCACCGGATTAGCTGTTTCTGGCGGACTGGAGATCGTTGGGTAATAAGACAAACGAAAATGTTGAATAAGTCATCTGCCGGGACTTATTTTGGGGTCATTAGACTCTGCAAAAAGGACTTATTTTGGGGTCATTAGATTGTGCAAGAAAAGAAGGGCATGAATTGTATTTCTTGCAGTATGTTACAAAATGTAGTCCAACAAAATCATCAGCGCAAGTGCAATATCTTGCAAGGCATGTGATCACTTTTAATTGAGATTTTAGTTTGAGTATGGATATGTACTTACCATAAAACACACCACTTGTACAAGGACCAAAACAACTGCTACTAAGAAAGCTAATGGACCCAAATGTAACAATGGTCAAAGTTCATGGACCATTGGCATAAATTTTCTCAAAATTAAAAGACTATTTTTCTGAAGGCAATTTTTAAGCATATAAAGAATAACCATTATAAATCAGTTAATCAAAACTTAGTACTTAATAAATACTTGCCCAATCTCGAGATAATTTAAGCCTCACTACAGGCATACAAATTCAACAGTTGAAGGCAATTTTTTTTTAACGAGTTGCACAGCGTGCTCTCTTGCTTTCGCTTCCTCAGCGAATTCTTCACTACCCACCACCCAACGTCGGAGAGGATCAATAACAATTTTCTCTAACGCAACAGCACTCTTTATTAAGAACATGATATGCTCGACAGCAGATGCACGAGCGCGATACCCGACTATTTCTACTACCTTGAGGGAATGATGGGGGCATTTCACAGCTTTATTTATTTCTCCCAAGTCCCACAATAAAATGAAATCCAACTGCACCGAAAAAAAAAACAATTTAGTGTAAGACGCAACAAGAACCAGAAGGAATATGAAGTCCATGTTTCATCACACAGCAAAATTTAACCTTTTTGTTTTGTTATACTTTTCATTCTTCTAATTGTCAATGGAACGAAAAGAAGATGAACAAAATCACCAAAAGTGCACATACAAAGACCTACATATAGTTTTACCATATAATCTGCCGAGTACAAACATATACCTTCAACACAAGTCTTTGCAAGAAAGGAGATGCTTTCAGAAAAGAAGTTAAATGAAAAAGAGCCAGACGGTAATCTGCAAGAACTATTAATTCCAAATGCTTGAGATTTGCCAGTATAGGAAACGCATGTTTCGGATTGTGATCCTGAAAACCAAACAAGGAACAATGAGCTACATAATCCATAAAAGAAGGAAAGAAAACCAACGCATCATAATACATATACTAACCGCTCCAGTGATATTCAGTATGAGAATCTCCAGTTGAGAAAGACAGCATGAAAGTTGGCGAGATAAAAGCTCTATGAATGCACGGGGATTGGAAAGATTGGACATGGACACCTCCACAAGCATCGGTACATTACTGAGAAGTACTTTCTCACTATTCTTACAAGCAAATGAAACAAGGTTTGCATCACAAATCTCAATGCTTTGCAGGCCAAGACAAGTTCCTATCACTAAATGCTTCAATGCAACCGATGGACAGACAACTCTTAAGTTAACCAAACTTTTTGTTTCACGCACGGTTAATCGTTCAAGAACTGGACAGTTGGACAAGAAGTATTCAAAAACTTTATCAGTCACGTCAACACATTGGAAATGAAGAACTTTAAGGAACTGAAATCCAACTTTGCATCCACAATGGCGCAGACTTGGAATGCAAGAATACACGTGCTTCTTCTCGAGACCTAATAGTTTGTGGGGAAACACATAGAAATTTTTTGAGGCAACGCCACATTGTGTATAAAACTTCAACACAAGTGTTTTAACTCCCTTTTCCATTGCAAACTGAATCCATTTGTCAATGGAACTTGCAAACTGATCATTTAGTTGAAAGCAAGCCCTGAATTCTTCAATGTTTGGGCCTCTATGTTGTTCCACCACACGATTCACCCAATTGACGTATCTACCACTTTCCAGAGATCTTAATTTTCTTTTGAGGGCTTTGAAGTGGCAGGGATTTCTATGAATATCAAAGTTAGCATTAAAGTTGAGAACCATAGTGGACATCCACACATACTGCCAACGTCTAGAAAGGATACTAGTAGCAGCTGCTTCCTTTAGCGACAAGAGAGACAATATACTGACAAGAATTTCATCTGTCATCTCACTAATTCTGTCTACCAAGTTGTACGCACCTTTTTCTTCCTCATTCTTTCCTGAGTTCTTTCCTTCACAACGTCTGCATTGCTTTCCCGAGTTCTTTCCTTCACTACGTCTGTCTCGCTTTCCCAAGTTGCACTCATACTTCTATAAAAGAATCGGCCAAAATTTAAAAAATAATATATATATATATATACATCTCTCTTTAATTTCATGATTCCATCACATTGTTATATTTAATTTACATAAAGAATATTAAATAAGAACAATAAAACCAACCAAAACGCACCTACATACATGAGAACGGATGAAAATTTTCTACAAGTTAGATATGGAGACATAAAACAGAATGCAACTTTGAAACCATTTGGATATTTGGGTAACTAAAACAAAAAAAACAAAAAAACAAAAGGTGCCAATTAGATATCCCAGATAAAGAGAATGTGCAAAGACACAGCTCAACCAATTACATTACAACGATCGGTTTTGGTTCGGTTTTGACTAAAACCACAAGGGAAACCAAACCAAACAAAACCATTGTTTGTCAGTTTGGGCCTAACCCAAATCCATTTTTTCCACCTCCTGTTACATTTACAGACCTGCTACTGACTTTCAAAACATAAAAAATCCAACCAACCGAACCTGCTTACAAGTTCTAAGCATTCTATCAAGACATAATCATTGACAACAAAGATCAGCAATTATATGAGACTAAATGGTAACAGATACAAAAGTTATCAGAAACTCACAACCAGTGGCACCGAGTCAGATTGATCCATAATCACCACCAAGCAGGAAGCACACCAGTTAGCAATCCGAGTCCTGGACGATTCGAATGAGTTAACTGAAACAAAAAACCAAGAGGATTCGTCGAATGAGCGAAAATTCTAATGTACTTATTTATTTTTGGGAGATTCACTATTATACCTAATATAGGAGTCTAAATTATATATAAAAAAACCCTATATGAAATGGACTTTAAAAACACACCAAAGTCCATTTACAACATAACAAAAAGGCTTTTAACCTCTTTTAAATTATAAAAACTGTCATTGATTTCTTAAAACAAACCCAATCCCAAAACCTCATAAAAAAGCCCAAAACACTCAATAGGGCATCAAAGTGAGTTTTTTTTATGGCCATAATGTTAAAAAGTACAGTGAAAATAAGATTCATTCTAACTATCATCCACATGAAAGCCTAAACAATAATTTTATCCGAATAGATCTTTGTGCATCTTAGAGTTTCAATTGACCCTATTGCTGCTATTCTACCTTAATTGGTACTTGAGTTCTGTATAGTGCAGTGTTGTGTACAAGGGAGGAGTTTCTTAAGGTTTTGAACTTGGCTAGCATTGATGTACTCTCTGTTAAGCTCTGGCTCGATAGGAAGGTGAGTTCAGTGGAAGTCCAATTTCAACATCACTTCCTTCTCTATATATTATGTGGGAAGGGTAATTTTATGAAATTTTTATGAGCCGCACCAAACCTAGCCTGCTGCTTATTTCTGAACTTTCTCCTTTGCTTTAGTTTTTCAAATATGGAATATCCACCTTACTAGTTAGCCACTTTGATTTGGATAGTTTTTATATAGATTAAATATGCTAGTAAAAGGGTATTTTTTCCAGTTATGTTTTGACAGAGCTGATTCTGTGTTGTAAACTCCACACATAACCAGGTTAACATTCCAAATGCAAGTAATGCTTGCTCTGGATTTGATGATTCATTTGGGTGGACTTTCTTTGATTTGAATGCAATCCATGACGAATATAAAGATAGTTCGGTAACAGTGTTACAAGCTGATTCTGTGAGTATCTTCATGTGTTTCTTTCTTCTCTGATCTTGTCATTATTCACTCAATTTACTTTAGAAATTAAATCTCATCTTTAGTTTGTCCCAAATGTCTGACGAGCAGTATCGTGCCAATGAGTTGTTGCCGCTGAAGGATGAACAAATTGTTTCCAAGGTGACATCTTACCTGTCAAACTGCATCAAGGACTTCAAGAATGCTACTGTGACAGATAAGGAGATTGGCAGATTTCCAAACTGACTCACTTCTTTCCTGGTAAGAGTTTTTATGGCATGACCTATATCCCGTCTTATTATACGAATCAGACTGTTTAGCTACGGCATTAAAGTAAACTAACTGTATTATAAAGGGCACTTTTCTGTGGTAAGAATGAACTAAGGGAAGAATGACTTTATCAGATGGTAAATTATACTTTTGTTCACAACACCAGTTTCTTTTTCTCTGTTGTGTCCTCTCTTAACAGGCTCATATAAGGACATGATGGGTGGCTCTACATCTTTCCCAAATTTGTTCATGGCCGGAGACTGGATTATAACCCGACACGGTTCATGGTGACAGGTTAAAGATTCATACTAACCATTATTCTTATCTTCATGGATCAAGATAAATGCAGAAAAGCTGAAAATATGGTTGCAGCATTTCCTTCACAGGAGAAATCTTATGTCACGGGACTTGAAGCTGCCAACCGCACAGTAGACTATCTTGAAGAAGGAAGCTTTGCTAAAATCATACCTGTAGAGGAAGATGAACCTCATATTCAAGCACTTCGCAGCCTGAACAGAAACTTCAATGAGATCACAGCACAATTTCCATTGTCTAGTTACTTCCTCCAATGAACTTGTCTGTTTGATTTTCTCTTTTTGCTGCATTTTTATGCCCATGTACCTATTCTTACCATTGAATAAAGAAATCTTATAAAATCCACAGTTATGAACCTTATCATTTCATGAATTGAGTGTTTGAATTGATTGGCCTATGGGGTATGCATGACTAAGTCATGGTAGTTGCTAAGTTATTAGTCTAAAGAGTTATTGACTAAAATGGTCCTCCAACTTTTGCTAAAGTCTCATTTTGGCCCTACAACTAAAATTTTCATTTCAATAATCCTCTAACTCTCCATTTAGTATCAAAATGATCCTACCGTCAAAGTCTGTCAATTTTGCCATTAAATTTAGGGGTAAAACCGTCCACATGTTAAAAACTCCTCCAAATTAGAACCCTAGCTCCATATGTGGAGAGGTGGGCTTCATGAGTTTCTCAAAAACTTTATTCTTCTTTTACCACTTTGATTTTCTCTTTCTCAAATAGATTTTTTCAATCCGATCCAGACACCCATGAGAAGAAAGATATATATTCTTCTTCTATTGAAGGAGGAGAGAGAGAGAGAGAGAGAGAGAGAGGTGGTCATACTGTGGGGTTTTGGATTGAGGAGGGATTTTTTTTGAGTGCTGTTAAACGAACCCTAAAATTAACTGAGTACACCTTATGATTTAAGTGCACCCTAATATTTTAATCAAAATGTAAAATTAACTAAGTACACCATATTTAACTACCAAAAATACCCACGTTACACCCTAATACACTCTATCACACAACACCCTAATACCAACCCCAAGCAAGATTACTATTACTTTAAGATCATTGGTTGCATCCTGAATTCCAGCCACACCATTATCCACATTACCACTTATATATGTTTTGTTGATTCCGCAATAAGCTCTCTTATAAGTTTATAACCTTTTATTTTGACAATGTTTGTAAGGTCATTCCAATTAACCATTTTGGACAAAATAGATCAGTCAAACTTGCTACTTTATTTGTTAATTAATATATGTATTATATATTGATATGAAATATATATAATATTAAAGTTAAACTTCCCGTTGCTGCTAAGGCCAAAATTTCTTGAAGAAAAAAAAATATGGCAACAAGCAATCATCAATTGATAAGTGAAACTTTGTAGAAAGTTCTCGGAAAAGTAACTGTCGAATTTTACAGATAAACCCTAATCAAGCAAATTGAATAAAATTCTAATAAAAGTACAACAACAAAAACGAAAAATTATCTGAAAAAGTAATGGAAGAACCTTTCGCCTCTGTCAATGCTCGCTGCATTGTTCACCGTGGGCACCAAGCAATAAGAAAACTTATCTACATTTGATTAGGGTTGAATATAGTGAGTAGGGTGTACTTATTAAAATTATATATATATATTTTTCACAATTCAAATCCTTTTTGATCATTTTATATTATGATAAATTAGTAATTCAATAAATAGTTTGGTAGTAGGGCGTACTCAGTTAATTTTAGGGTTCATTTAGCAGCACTTTTTTTTTTTTGGGGAGGTGGGGGGAGTTGGTGATGGCGTAATGGGTTGAGTTTTCATCTTTTTAACTTTTTCAACCAGAATTTAAAATGTCCATTAATTAGGAAAAAGATTTATCTGTATTTTTTTTTTAATCTCCATCATTGTTAGTGGTTTTATTGTAAAAGTTATTTGGAACAAAAAAGGTTTATTTTAGGGAAGTATTCGTTTTAATTTTCAAATGTTTATATAATTAAATTTTTATTAGTGTTTATTTCGTATGGATGATTTTACCTCTACATTTAATGGCAAAATTGACAAACTTTGACGATATGGCCAATTTGATATTAAATGGAGAGTTGTAGGACTATTGAAATGAAAATTTTAGTTAATGGACCAAAATGAGACTTGAGCAAAAAATGGGGGACTATTTCAGTCAATAACCCTAGTCTAAACTCTTCCCCTACCAAGAGGCATCGACAAGACTAAGAAGAGAATGTAACTAGAGGGATCATATCAACTATCTTGCCAGATTTTATTGAGCTAATATTGACTTCTACATTCAATGGTTTGGTGGCTCGACTTGAACTCGATTGGAGTTTAAGTCCAATCAGTTTTTATGAGTTTCATTCCTCTAGACAAAATTTGTAAGACAAGTTGTATTCACCAAACTGAGATTAGAACAAATGTCACAAACAATACCATTCTCATAAGCTAACCTTCTTCTTTATGTAACAAAGTTTATAGTCTTTTCACTTCTTTTTTTAGGGCAACCATAGTCTTTTTACAGTTTTACTTTTGAGAAGAGAACAAACCACACTGTACCTTTCAATTGTCTATCCAAATTACGAAGGTGCAGTGGGCCCCAAGTCCCAACCAAGCATATCCCCACGTGGCCCAATGTAGAGGATCGGCGCGCCATCTAGTTGGACACTCTAGTACATATACACTCTTTTGTTGTCTTTCACATTATTTCCATTATTACCACTTATTTCCAAACAAAACAAAAAACCAGAAAATTAAAAAACATTACAGTTTAAATTTTTTTAATTTCATTTATTATTATTTATCTGTCAACGAATTTCCAATTTATTTATTTTTCTAGTCCATCAGATCTCACTCTTTTTTATTCATCTTCCTCCTCTTCTGCTTTGCTCCTCTCTCTCTTCCGATTGGCTTGGCTTGGCTTCAGATCGAAAACGAGGTAGGTTTTCAGATCCGTACGTAATTCTCAGCCACCGTTGATCGTTATTTCCTTGATTCAATTCCAATTGCAACCGTCCGATCATATACTCCAATGAGCTCGAACTACACGTGATTAGAGTTCGTGTTCATTCAAGCTTTGTTTTTTAATCCAAAGTTGGTTAATTTTAGCGAATTGTTGAAATCAGCAATTGGATGTGATTTATATTGTTGTTGTTTCCTCAAATTTTGGGGCACTTAGTTGGTTGCTGAGAAAAGGAAGGGAAAGAAGAAGGTCGCATTGTCAAGGATTGGAGTTTTTGTTGTTTGGGTTCGGGGACACTATAATCTACACAATCCAAACTGTTTTCAGTATTTAGACAGTTAAAATTACTGTAATTCAATAATCTATTTTATGTTTTTCAAATTTTTTTAGATATTCATACAAACTTAGTGTTAATTAGGCAAAATTTTATTGCTATGATCTAATTCTTCACTCATTTGATTGGACTGATTTGCAATGTTGCTTTAGGAAGTGATCCTAGTTGACATCTTATAAAATTTGTTTCACAATTCGCAGTTGCTTTGGATGGCATCTAGTGGTTTTTATTCATAATTGCTGATTTTTTTTTTCGTGAAGCTTGCAAATGGCTGTTTCACAAAACAATCACGACATGGACGAGGGACAACTAGAGGTCGGCATGGGTAAGTCTTGGACCGGTTTACTTTATATTTTTAGACATGGGTAATAGTGGCCATGTGTTTTCGGTCTTCAGTCGTAATGGATACTTTGTGAGTTAATGTTGAACTCTTCAAATTTGTTCAGCTAGACAGAATTAGCATTACTATGAGTTCATTATGACCTTATGTCCTCTGCCTTGACATTTCAGAGTACAGAACTGTTTCTGGTGTGGCCGGACCTCTGGTTATCCTTGAAAAAGTTAAGGTAGGTGATCCTATCTCTCTCTTTCTATCTCTGTGCCTGTCTGTCTGTCTGTCTGTCTCATCTAGATTGTTGTTAAGCTTTTCTGTGTGGAACTTTCCCCTTTTCTGAAACCAATAACTAATGTATTCTCTTTAACTATGTCAGGGACCTAAGTTTCAGGAGATTGTTAATATTCGTTTGGGAGATGGAACAACTCGACGTGGTCAAGTCCTGGAGGTTGATGGAGAGAAAGCTATTGTGCAGGTGACAGCTGTTTAGCATTGTTTATTAGTTTCTCCTGATTGTGCCCTTTGATACACATTCATGGATAGGCTTATAATTTTGATAACCTTTAGTCCTATTTTTGGCTTTTGTGCATCATCTGGACAGCAATTGTTATGATTGACTTAACCTGTACTAGATGATAGCATCATTACTTAATCTTGAGGTGCTTAATTTTTGTATGGTTTAGTTAAACGATTTCTTTGCTGCCCAGGTTTTTGAAGGAACATCTGGAATTGACAACAAGTACACCACCGTGCAATTTACAGGAGAGGTATTAGAACTTTAATCATATTCTTCCTTTATTGTATTGTGGAAGCAAGAATAATAAATCTTTTCTGACATCTAGTTATGCTATTTTCAACCTATTTTGACCCTCCCCCTTGAATGTTTGTCAGGTTTTGAAAACTCCAGTCTCACTGGACATGCTTGGGCGCATCTTTAATGGTTCTGGGAAACCCATTGATAATGGCCCCCCTATTTTGCCTGAGGCTTACCTAGACATATCTGGTGAGTTATTTGTTTTAATGATCATAGGTTTGGCTCCAATTTTTTTGTGCATTAACATGTCTGTCAATCTATTGTATGTCTTCCCCAGGGAGTTCTATCAATCCTAGTGAGAGAACATATCCTGAAGAGATGATACAGACTGGAATTTCTACAATTGATGTCATGAATTCCATTGCCAGAGGACAAAAAATCCCACTTTTCTCTGCTGCTGGTCTTCCTCATAACGAAATAGCTGCTCAGATATGTCGCCAGGCTGGTTTGGTCAAGCGGTTGGAGAAATCTGACAGTCTTCTTGACGCTGTGGTATACTTTGTAACCAAATCTTTGTTGGCCAGTAGAGATTGCACATATCTACTATTTTCATGTTAGACATGCTAAGTGCCCAACATTATTTTGATATACTTCTAGCATTCATGTGATTGTCTAACCTATGGTATGAAATTACAGGATGTGGAAGACGACAACTTTGCCATTGTGTTTGCAGCTATGGGTGTAAATATGGAGACAGCACAGTTTTTCAAACGTGATTTTGAAGAAAATGGTTCAATGGAGAGAGTGACCCTTTTTCTGAATCTGGTATATTTTGAAATGAACATATGAAGCCTTTGATGATATATTTATGGGTTTTTTTTCTTATTAAATTCTGTGAATTGGGAGTGTTCTTCCTACATTTCTCATACTTTGTATGAATGGTACTGGGCCTAAAATGTGTTTTCTGCCATCTTCTACAGGCAAATGACCCTACAATTGAACGTATTATTACTCCTCGTATTGCTCTTACTACTGCAGAATATTTGGCATATGAATGTGGGAAGCATGTTCTTGTCATTCTCACAGATATGAGTTCTTATGCTGATGCTCTTCGTGAGGTAACGTGAAAAAATTGTGAATGCCATTGTACCTTAGTTTTTGAAAACAATAAAATACGTGAATTCTCAAATTTCATAAATCATGTTCATCTTCTTTCTGATTCTTTATATGAACTTGAAAAGCATTTTTGTTCTTTTATATTTTAAAATACCTCTACCAACTACATATTGTATTCTTATTATTGTGTAGGATAACTTCCGTAATCCAAACTATTGATTGCTACTGCAGGTATCTGCTGCTCGAGAAGAAGTGCCTGGAAGGCGTGGATATCCAGGGTATATGTATACTGATCTGGCACAAATCTATGAGCGTGCTGGACGAATTGAAGGCAGAAAAGGCTCCATTACACAAATTCCAATTTTAACTATGCCAAACGATGGTAATGTATTTTTATTACACATTGACTGTCTCACATATCATGCATTCATGCTTAAGTGATATGCCGTAACACAAGCTTTGATTTCTTTATCTTGCCAGATATTACACACCCCACTCCAGATCTTACAGGATATATTACTGAGGGACAGATATACATTGACAGGCAGCTCTACAACAGACAGGTAACTGAAGTTTTAGCATGTTTTCATTACATCATTCAGTGTTGTGGTCTGAGAATGGGTATATAATTACCTTAAGAATTAAGATGGTCATGGCGTACGTTACCATGTTCCTGCGTTCAGAATGGGGTACACAATACATGTTGTATGATTTTGTGAAAGGGAAGTTACCATGGTTTTGTCACTTAAATGCCACCAGAACAAATGGTACCTTCTTTATCTTTCTCAAGTGCCTGGGATTTGGACTTCTCTCGTTGAGGCTTGACTTGATGAAATTGTTGGTCACTGTATCAGTCCATAATAAATAAAAAGTAGCTCTCATTTAGCTTGATACCAAATAACGGTAATTCATTATGCATTTAGAAAGTTGGTTTTCTATGTTTGGACAACCTACATTGAGGTGGTAACAATCAGTTATGCAGAGATTATAAATGAATTGAAACTAACCATCAAGTCTTTCAACTGTGCAGATATACCCGCCAATCAATGTTCTCCCATCACTGTCTCGTCTGATGAAGGTAATGACACTTTGATTTCTTTATACTCTAAATATTTAGAGAGGGTTCACATCACTGCAATTATGGGGTTTATGTTAAATAAAGTAGTTGGTTATGATTGCAGAGTGCTATTGGTGAAGGGATGACTCGCAGGGATCATTCTGATGTATCCAACCAGGTTAGTTTGGGATTGTATGGTAGTATTCGAATCTGTTGTCACCTAACGCCATCTAATCTCCCCTCTCTTGCATTTTTTAACTTTCAGTTATATGCAAATTATGCTATTGGGAAGGATGTCCAGGCAATGAAAGCTGTGGTTGGAGAAGAAGCACTTTCTTCGGAGGACCTGGTCTCTTACCTTTTTTGTTTTCTTATTAAGATGGTTTTGTTTATTAACAATCAGCCTTTGGGAGTAATTGATGTGATATTTTCTTTTGATTTAAACAGCTATACCTGGAGTTCTTGGACAAATTTGAGAAGAAGTTTGTGAGCCAAGGGGCCTATGATACCCGTAATATCTTCCAGTCACTTGATTTGGCATGGACGTTGCTGCGGATCTTCCCTCGTGAGCTTCTCCACCGTATACCTGCAAAGACTCTTGATCTGTTCTACAGCCGAGATGCAGCTAATTGATGGGGTTGATATATCCCGTTCTTCAAAAGTTCTTCAACCTAATTAGCTATCGATGAGCTCTGCAATTTGTTTATTGATTCTCTCCCTAGGTTGAATCTCTACTATCCCGGCATATATAATAAAGGCTGTGCTCTGTTCGAGTCCCTAGAAGGTCTTGGCTAGTCCAAATATTCTTTCAAAGAGGACATTTAGAGATCTTGTAGCTTTTGTATTTTCGTTTATGAGTTGTTAGTTTGTCACCCAGTTGTGGTTTGGTTTCAATGAGGACATTCAGGAACAGTCGAGCCATCTAGGATCTAAAGAGCCCTTGCAGTATATATTTGCTTGTTTCAAGACCTTATTTATTTTGTAATCTGTCATTTTTGGCTTTTTATTGATCTTATTTTCAGAATGTTCTGTTTTGTGTATTTTGACATCCGAACGTGCTCAAGTTTATCCGAGAGTTTATTGTTAAGTTATATCTGAAATAAAATGATTATTTTGGTATTCATTGCGCCATTGTCACTATCTCACCAAATTAGGTTCCCAATAAAGCAGATCTTGCCAAGTTATTTTGGATGTTTATTGGTAGATTTTTATTTAGTTTTTAATATATTCTTTTATATTTATTTGTATACAACTAATATTGCATAAAAGGTAAATTAATTAAACTCAGGGTTTCGATTTTAACGAGGTTGCACTTGACGCACGAAAGTTTAATCAATTCTTTCACTTTGATTTATTTTTAAAATAAATAAAAAAATACCCAGGGTGAAGTTTGTCCGTTGCACCGAAGTTTCAATTTTCCCTTCCAGTAATTAGAAAAGTTTCGAGCATTGTTTTTTATTTATTCATAAAAAACACTCAAGCTACAAACCTTTTTCACATTACAGAATTATTAGAATGGTTATTTATTTTTCTTTCTTAAATAACAAAAAGATATTCATTTTTCGATCTCGCATTTTTCATTTTTCACATTCATTAAAAAGCACATGTTCCTCCAATCTGTTTTTCAATCCTTTTTTCTTTGTCCCATAGAAACTGAAACAGATGCTAAAAGAATTTATCTAAGTCAGTACACATTTTGTTCCCAGTTTCAATCTTCGTGAAATTGAAAACGTGGCTGCCAATTTCCTTGTTAATCATCTCTTAATGTCTTGGACATATAAAAGACCAACACCTCTATTCTTCTCCATCTTCTTCTTCTTCCTCTTTTGTTATATACCGTACGAGCCTTTTTTGGGATGAGATAAAAATATGCAACCAGCAAGAAATCCTCCGAAAAAGTTCATAAGAATGACCAAAATGGTTTCAACTGAACCTCAGCCAGCTTTTGATGTTCTGTCTACAGGGGGTAGGACAACTGAATCAAGATTTGCAGGATAAGGAGTCCACAAGCCTAAGCCCCCCCGACTCTCTATCAAATTGCCATTGTTCGCATTAGCTTGGTCCCAATCTTTACCCTTATTCGAAATGGCTCCGTTCCCTTTAAGCTGATTCCAATTTGTTACCCACTCTATACGAGAAGAATGCTCCCTTATGTGCGGATGCAACACAAACAGTGAATTGTACTCGCAATTTGGAAACATAAAGAACCTAAATAAATCCCCTAACCTGTACACAACGTAACCAAAACTCAGTTGGTCTCTTGGTGTGAAGAGGTTGACCTCATTGAACCACAAGCAGCTAAACAAATTACTCATCGCAGTATGTTCCCGTATGATAATGGCTCCTTCTGGCACATCTGCATGTAACAGCTTGCATCAATGATATGAATAAAAGGAGGGTTATCATATATATGTAGATAATATTAGGAATTAACTTAGTTTTCAAGTGCCTGTAACTTGCGACGAGGGGAGGAAACAAATAAACAAAACCAACAAATTACATAACTCAACATCTCCGGTCTTCCTTCTTACCACTAATAGTTTTCTTTGTTGAATTCCATGGCTCCAAGCCCTCATAACGATAAATTTTCATGTGTAGATCAATAAGAGGTCGAGCATATCGCTTCCTCCGCTTGTTTGAATCAGCCTCCTCATAAATGTTGCGATGATGCTTGTGCTGAGAAATTGCAAATGTATGCTTCCCACGCCATAAATATCTGCAAATCAAATTTTAGTTCACTTAGCTGTAGTTATATATGTATGTGTGCACACATGTCAAATGCAAACGATAAGGACAATTTATTACCTTTCTAAAATTAGCAATGGATCAACTATGAGCTCCATTTTACCATCGATCCAAATGCTGTACTGTGCCTTAGGGAACAAACGGTGGGTTAATATCTTGGGGACCTTCCCATTCCTTCTTGGCTCATCATAAGGTGGATGCTTCAACAAAACAAGACGCCAGATACCAACCCATTTTCCCCCATCACTATCTTCTGTGACCGTGACATTTTCCTTAATAAATTTAAGAGATGTCTTATCCACCGCCATGAGAAAACAGAAGAGCTTCTTAGAACGAGGACTTAAATTTGAAGGTTGATGGGGTACATCATATCCATCAAAAATGCCCGAGGCAACCACAAACCTACATTTCTTGGCATATTTGATGTCTGCAGGAGCCATTTCAGCACCACCATTTCGAATAAAACCACAGTGCACCTGCAGGATAATAACATTACCCAACTAATGATGGAGAACGGCAGAAGTAACACCCCCAATACAAAAAGAAAAAGAAAGTTTTTCAAATTTCAATAAACAGGAAAGGTTTCTACATTAAGTTGACGATTCTCTCAAAGTCTCCCATCACTATTTTCAATTTTAAAAATACTCTAAACATACTGTAAACTACAGTTTAATAACAAGAGGATGCTATGGAAGTCGAGATGTATTATTCTTTTACTGCTAACAAAACAAACAAGTGAAGCACATGCTTTGGCTGACAATATGTAAATATATAGAGCTGACACAGTACTCTGAAGTTCTATTTTTACCTTCATGTTTGATGTTAGTCTAAAGCTCTCCTCTCTCTGTGACCAATTTTGATGTCCTCCGAATAGTGGGGATGACTGTGTTCCATCAGGCAAAATTTCATCCTCCATAACATAGGTTAAGTTTTTGACAATTTCATCAGGAGTTCTTCCTTTTGGAATAACTATCTTATCAGGGTTATCGTCAAGGGGAATTGGACAGCCTAGTTGATATGAACACAAACAATATCATTTAAGAAAACTAATAAGTGACCAATAATACAAAGAAAAAATATTCGAAGATCTTACGATGTGGTGATTGTTGTTTTGGTACAAACCCCACAGAGCCTAACATGGAGAATACCTTGCTATCTTTGTTACACATAGCTGCAGTTCAAGTAGAAGACTGATATTATTTAAAATCACTGAGAACACATATATTCATATATGGGAAATTAAATAGCAGAACCTATTTCATCAAGTACACACTGACAATATTAATCGCACTGGCACCAACATTTAGCAAAACAGGGGCACCTATTGCAAAGCGATACCAAATTTATAGACAAGATTCCCTTCCTCACTATCATTGGGAAATTATTTGATAATGACAAGACAACTATGATCCCCCATACCACAAGAAAGCTGAAACCAATAATATTTGCAGCATTTGCTCATGTATCTCTAGTCAAATCTTTAGCTCTTACAAGCTTACTTGAATTATGTCACCCTGACTCTAATAAGTTTTAATTGAAAAAAAAATCATAATGAATACACTGGATATCACTAGCTTTATTATCTATGCTAAGCAAAGAAAACCTAAAAATGCACTGTTTTCTTTCTATAAGATGTGTATGAATACAAAAGACAATCACTTTGAAATAAAGACTTTTCAATGGTCTTCAATTTTTGGACAAAGGCGCGCCAATCAACTAAGACTAATTCAAGTATTGGGCTTTGGGACTGAGCCAACAACACAAAACAAAATATGAAGTTCTATATGCATGAAGCATGAACTCAAACAAGGAGCCAAAGAACTTAAGGCATAGTTCCATGAGAAAATTTAAGAAAAATACCTGAGATGAATGAGATAGAAGACTGGCAGGACCAAACATGAAGCAACGATGCGAGAAGAATTAGTAGCATCCACAAGATGCCACCTACAAGAACCAATCGAATGAAGCCCTTCTTCCAAACAATCTTCATGGGAGAACCTTGCGACACCCTTCCCAGAGGAAGTCCTGCTTCCACATCTGTACCACCAGCACCACCAAATTACTCACATTTCTTGTGCTAAACAAAATATCTACTTCATTAATACGAAAATCAAAGACACGTTTCACAATTCATTATTATGACTCATTTGAGAAATGGTGAAAGGATAGGCTTTATTTACCTTTAGTATGTAAGGTCAGATTACTCCGTTCGCCTCTACGGTGTGTGCGAAAAGAGACGGACCGTGGACTCTCTTTATCCATAATCAACCAGTACACCTTCTCATTACTGCAGCACAATCCATACATACGTCATACATATATACATAGACACATACAGAATCAACTATAATAAGCAATAAAAACTCCATTCCCATATTGATTAGCATTGCATTATACTTCCCGCAAAAACTCAAAACATTTACACGCACTGAGATTCAATAAAAATTTTGAGACTAAATTGAGGAGAAAATGTGGAAACAAAGCGATGCCAAAGGAATTCCAGATCTGGGTTACACATCAAATTGAGCCAACGTATCGGCTGTATATGAAGTTTCGTTTTTTAATGCAGAAAAAGGAAATATTCAGTGGTGGCAAGTGACTTACAGATTGAAGATGGTGTGGTTGGAGCCAGAGCTTGTAAATTCAATGCGCAGATCAAATCTCAGCCCCAGATATCACCAAAACCATGAAAGCTCTATTCTTGGTTAACCTCAAAGCTGAAATACATTTTTTGTAAACCTCAAAGCCGAAATTTCAAACATTCAACCAAATAAATTACACCAGCATGCATATATGTACTTTCAGATCTCAAAGATCGAGGCTTTTGAGTTACAAAGACAACCCAAAAACAAAATAGATCAAAATCAAACCAGAAAACACAAGGGCTAACAGTGAGGAGTTAGAGCATCCACAATGGGGATGTAAATTCGGGGTTATAAAGCAACTTTTACATCCTTTTACACTTCCGGAGGGTGTGAATATGTTTTTTGCTCCAATGGGAAACGATGTAAATCTAAAGATGTATAACGTTTTTGTGTTAAATTTTTATTTTGTGTTAACTTTATAAAATTAATTTTTTTGTAGTAGGTTAATTTTATTTTTTCAAACAAATAGACCTAAAAATATTTAAATTCGGAGAAGATATGATTTTATCCAAAAAGAATCGTTGGATTGTGAAGTACATTTAATCTGAACCGTTGGATTGTAAAGTGCATTTAATCTAAACCGTTGGTATATTATCACGTTTTTTGCACACAATTCAACATCCATTATTATTTCTGATTTGCACACAATTCAAGATACGACATGATAGAATTTGATCTCATCTTCAACCATTGGATCGTATTCGCTTATCTTCATCTCAACCCTTGGATCATATTCTCTTTTCTTCATCTCACCCCTTTGATTCTCATATCAGATATCATTGATTTCCTATAAATATCTTCACTTCATCAAACCTATCTCTACCTTGACTTCAGACCCAAAAAAAAAAAAATTCTCTACCTTTACTTCATCAACATCTACGGTTGACCACTTGATTGCATTCTTCAGAACTGCAAAACAATGTTCCAAACAAAATGGAGGGCCGTTCTCATGGTACAAAGTTTTTGCTAGGTCCACCTATAGAATGATAAAATAAATTTAAAATTAGTGAATCAAAAATACAACATTTAGAGATTAATAACAAAATAGATTTACCTTGTTCATGTCACTGGATCCACTTTTATTTTCCCTATCCGCTTCAACGAGACACTCCCAATACTTCTGACATCGTGGCCGAATGAAATTCCATCGGCATTTGAGGCTGTTAGAAGTTCGATTGGACATGCACAATTCAAAGAATTATTTCTGAATCCTAGCGCAAAATGCATTAGCTTGTTGGGAGTTTCCAATAATTGGATCTTCACTAATTGCTAGGTATGCATGGCATAGAGCAACATCTTCGTTAGTGGAAAAGTTTGGCAATTTAGCTCTTTTTGAACCCTCTCCAATTCTACTCATTTTGATGATCACAAAAGATAGGAAAGCATAATAATAAATAAATAAAAACCAAATGTTTGAGAGTAGGAAGAATTGTGATTTTATGAACAAAGAGGTGGGAATATATAGAAAATCTGAATTTTTCTTGGCCTTGGATCAACTAGCCGTTGGACTTGCTGATTTCAGATGCATGAAAAATTAAAGCTGCTGCCTTGAACTGTTGGCATGTTTTTGAAAATTCAAAGGCGTTTGCTGTACATCTATTAAAGCTGTTGATTCTTCATACAAAAAAAAAGCTGCTGCCTAGCCAGATTCTTCATATATAAAAAAATCTGCTGCCTGCCTGATTCTTCATAAAAATAAAATAAAAACTGATGGCTGTTGCAAAGCTGCTGCCTGCTTGATTCTTCATAAATAAAAAAAAGCTGATGGCTGTTGCAAAGCTGCTGCCTGCTGATTCTTAATAAAAAAAAAGATGCTTCCCCGCATGTGAATTTTTTTTCCAGCAATTACTGTAGCAGCGGGTCCCAGCCTTTTTATGCTGACTTTTCTTCATTTTTCTTCTCTTTTCTCGGGTGGGTCCCGCCTGCAAAAGATGTAAAATTGGATGCAAATGTACATTTTATTTTGCATCTCCATGATGGTGATGTAAATATACAACCCTTTACATCTCCCCATTGGAGATGATTCTGGTGACAAGAGGTGTATATTTAACATACACCCTCCCATTGTGGATGCTCTTAGTGAAGAAAGACAGAGTTTTTATTTTTTTTAATTGATTTTCTACAAATAATTCTCACATATTTAATTTGTCATAAATAGTACAGACGGACGACTATACTCCATATTTTTGTTTTTTTTATAAACAGTGTAACCGCATGGCAATACTTATTTTGACACATGGCGCCTATTCGTAAGGCGGGTCCTTTTGTTATCATATAAATAGTATAGCCGCACGGATATAATCAGTTTTTTCTTTTTTTATAGCCGAACCTATTTTGACACGTGGCACTTAATCACTAGGCGCCTTTTTTTATTTTATTATATAAATCGTATAGCCGCTCGGCTATACTCGGTTTTTTAAATATTATAGCCGCTCGGCTATACTCGGTTTTTCCTAATATTTTTTTTAAAATAGTATAGCGGCTATACTCCGGGGGTGGTGAACCAATGGGCTATCCGTTCGAATGTGGTAACAGATCAACCTGATGAAACTTCTTTCTGCAGCTATTGTGAAGAGCCATGTAGTGGGTCTTTTCTTGGTATGGTGCTGCTTGTGGTGTCAAAGACTGGTACATGTGGATTGCCACATAAGCATGTCCAATGAAACAGGTGATATTTGTGATTTAGGTCCATTCAGAAGGTTGATTCTATCGCCTCTTCATGTAAAGGAATTGAGCCAGACTTCCGCTGGTGGAATTTTGAGCTCCATTACTCCGGGGGCCAGAGCTCCTATCGCATCTTCAGTACGTGCAACTATTAGGAGTCAGAGCAACAAGTCCAATCATGGAAATGAAACCTCTGTTGACACGGGAAATAGTGGTAGTACTGGGGATATGTCCGCAGAAAGGGTATGAGGATGATGCAATCCCACAAGTTTTGATTTGGGGTCTTTTTGACTTGAACATGCCTGGTATAGAGGAACTTCATCCGGGGCTGACTGTGTTGAGTGGCTTCTCCGACAATTTGAGCAAGTTATTCTTGGACAATGGTGGAGAAATTGGCCCGCACCAACTCATGGAAGACAAAGAGTATCGAGCTCTCCCTGTGGTGGACTGAAACTTCATACTTTGAGGTAACGATTGAAACAGGAAGTCCTAACAGTTCATTCTAATTGCTGATGAATATCAACATCACATGCTGGGCTCTCTCCTCAGTTGATTTCTATGGAGTTTGGTGAACCTATTCTCTATTTATGCCCTACTCCACATTGACTGGGCTCTCATTTGTCTTCGCATTCATAACCAACTCTGGCATGCTTCATTTGTAGGAATTCGGTGTGATGCAAAGGTTGCTCTGGACATTCATAATCTTCGGGAGAGATGTTTTAGAATCAGGTAATTCCAAACCTTATCGAAAACGGAATTCAAATCAATCTCCCTTACACTGTACTAGGCATTAAACTCTGGTTGATCGGTTCTTGGGTTTAGAGTAATAGGGGAACTATGGAGCAGAGGCTAGTGTACTATTGGAGTCCGAGATCAAATATGGTTATAACTTATAAATCAGAATGGAATTAAAGTTGATATCATACTTCAAATCTGTGCTGCTTCTTGTTGTTGCAATTGTTGTTTGATAGTAGTTTTATTTCGATTTTACCTTGAGATTTCCTACTTAAGCTGTTGACATCAGTTATGTTGCTGCAATTGTTATATACCTGCAGTTCATGAATAAAGTCCTTTATGCAAGAGAAGGTTAGGGGTATAATGGATAGTATATTTGTGGATTTTCCTTGTCAAGTTCGAGTTGAAATACATGGTGTTGAGATAGAGGTCCCTGAGGCAAGTATGAAAATATTTTAACCATAAAAAAAAAACACAACACTTCAGTTGCTGATTATATTTATTTTGACACCCGGCGCCTATTCACATGGCTAAATGGTTTTTTTATTTTTTTTAAAGAAAAAAATAACATATAGCCTCACAGCTATCCTTATTTCGACACGTGACACCTAATCACTAGCCCGGTAATTTTTTTAATTTTTTATTTGTAAATAGTATCGCCAGGCGGCAAAATAAAGCGGCTATACTTATTTTGAAACGTGGCGCCTATTTGCAAGGTGGGTTTTTTTATATTATATAAATAGTAAAGCCGAGCGGCTATACTATTTTAAGGTTTAACCATGTAGCGCCTAACCGCTAGTCGGGTTTTTTTTTTTTTGGAAATCGTATAGCCACACGGCTATAATGATTTTGGCACGTGGGACCTAATCACTAGGCTCTTTTTTTTTTTTTGGGACATAATATAGCCGCAGCTATACTGTTTTTACACGTGGCGCCTATTCGCAAGGAAGTTTTTTTATTATATAAATAGTATAGCCGACTGGCTATACTGGGTTTTTATTAATCTTCCAAAAAATAGTATAGCTTATACTATTCTAGAGTTTAGCCACACGGCCACTAACCGCTAGGCAGGTCCTATTTCCCTTTTTTTTTTTTAGGGTTTAGGGTATAGCCACACGGCTATGAGCGGTGTTTTTTTTTCTTCAGAAAATTGTATAGCCGTTCGGCGATACCCAATTTGGCACTTGGCACTTGGCACCTATTTGCAGCTCGGCTATACTCGGTTTCAAATTGCAAGGCAGTCCTTTATGGTATAGCCGCTCGGCTATACTCGGTTTCATTAATGTTTCCCAAAAAATAGTGTAACCACAAATCTCATAAAAATGATGTGCCCAAATCACCCTTTTGACCCGATTTGTTAAGTGGGTCCAATACCACGGACCTTTAATAATCGGGTTATCGGGTACCCGCACCCACCGTCCTCTCAGTTGCGTCAGTTTTTGTTTGCCTCAGCCTCAGTTTCGTCAGAGCCGTCCATTCTCTGATTCCGAGTCTTTGAGCAGCTCAACGCAGCCCACCGCGGATTGACGAAGAGTGGGTTGTGCGCATCTGATTTTGCTGCTTCTTATCAATTCACTGGTTCCTTCTTCTTCTGGTAAGTATATATTTCGAATTCTGATTAGGGTTTTTCAGTCTCCTGTTAGATTTGCAGTTTGGTCGCTCCTGATTGTTAATTTTGTTGATTATAGCGAACCCCTTTGTTAAATTATGCCCAGAGCATTTTTTGGAGTGAAATTCATGCTATTCAAAATCAAAATTTTATAGGCATGAAACAGAATCAGCTTGTTAGTTGAAAATCAAAGACACCATGAATTTCTGTTTGTATTTTTCTTTCTCTGTTACGGGTTTTGTAGCTCATGCTTTGAATTGTTAGGCATATTTGCTGATTGCAAATTATTATTTTTGTTTTCTGACTGGATCTTTTAGTTTGTAGCTTTAGATATGGATGACATTGATCATTATAAGATTCTCGGTTTGCCTTCCGGTGAAGAAGGTGCTAAGCTTACAGAAAAGGAGATTTCAAAGGCATACAGAGCAAAGGCTCTTGAGTTGCACCCCGATAAGAGGCCGGATGATCCCGATGCCCATGCCAACTTCCAAATTCTCAAGTCATCCTATGAGATACTTAAGGATGAGAAGGCCAGGAAGCTGTTTGATGATTTACTGAGAGTTAAGAGAGAGCATCAGCGGCGCCATTTGGAGCGCGATTCCAAGCGACAGAAGATGGTCTCTGATCTTGAAGCGAGAGAACGAGCTGGCTTTGCTCCAGATGCGGCTGCCAAAGATAGATATGAAGAGGAGAGCATTGCTAGGAAGCTTAAGGAAGAGATTGCGAGAATACGTGCAATGCATGGGAATAAAGGGGCGGCAACTGCTTCAGTTCCAAAAAGAGAAAGTGGGGGAGTTGGGAAGGAGAGTGTGGGTGGTGCTAAGCTGGGATTGGATAAGGAGAAGGTGCTTAAAGTTTCTTGGGAAAAGGTTGGTGAAGGTTATACAGCCCAGAGGTTGAGAGACTTGTTCTCCAAGTTTGGTGATGTTGAAGATGTTGTTATCAAAGATGCTAAGAAGAGAGGTTCGGCCCTAGTTGTAATGACAACTAAAGATGCGGCTGTAAGTATGCCATGACTGTTATGTTTATAGTTTCTACTTTGAACTTTTATTTTCTGAATGATGTAGTGACATACCATTGGCGTTATTATTTGTAGGTTGCAGCAACACAAACTGTGATGGGCGACCTTTCTAATCCATTGCTAGTTTTACCTCTTCAACCAGTTGCAGTGACTGATGCTCCACCAGTTCAGAAGTCTGATGAACCCGATCGACTTAACAATTTGATTGGGGCGAGCTATCAAACTTTTGAGGATTCTGTTTTGCAGAAACTCCAAAAGGTTTGACTAGGATTAACTATTCTTCATACCTTATCTAAAGATTGCAATTATCATGCCGAGACTTCAATTTAAGTCACTTGACATAAAGAAAAGTTGCCTCTCTTATTTTTTATTGTGCTCTTGCTGTTGTATTTTTGCAGTTAGATGTCTGTGTTATACAATTTTTGCATCTTTTCATTTTAAAGCAGATATATATATATATATGTATGTATGTTAAACTGTTAATCAACCGGCTCATACGCAGACTATTATGCTTGCATGTAGTTATATTGTTAAAACTATGATACATTCTTGTGCTTCAAAAGGGCAATAAGTTGTATATGCCCACGTCTCTGACAGTTGATTTTTAATATTCAAATTTTGATACTGCCCCATAGTGAATAGGGAAATAAATTCTATTTTTATGCTGCGCTTTTTAGTACATCAGTTTTGAGTCTTTGTCTGGTTTTTCTACTATAGGCTGCGCAGAAGCAAAAATAATGTTCTAGAAGCATGAAAGGATGATGATCCCAAAAGCACTATAAGATTCACGAACTGAATTCCCATGTACAGGTAAGAATGGCCGTTACTTTCATTATTTCATTTTTGCCACTCCCAGTTCATGCCAGCCTTTGTCTGGGTCACTTTATTTTCTGAACATAAGAATGATATCCAAATACCTTTTCGAAGTGTATGACAAGCACATTCCAATTGTACATAGGAGCATGTGCTTTTGCCAAGCCAGCGGTAACACGGACCACGTGGCAAGAGAAGTTTATAAATACCCGTGTGATTGGAGCAAAGGTTGCTCAAGGCCTTTGGAAGAGTTGCTGGACTTGCATTTCTCTAACCAAAATCATCTATGTTTTTTTGAAAAAGTACAAATAGCCAATCTTTGCATGCCTGGCTGATATACTCTAATTCTTTGACATGCAGGGAACTGGTGAGAAGTCTCTCAAATATCAAGATTGTGCATGAGAAGTGCTTTTAACCAGTGATGTTATAATATGAATTAGTTACTGAGAGATTGAGAGATCAAGACTGGCATTGATGTATGCTAACAGTTTACCATTCTCAAGGTTAGGACAGAATTGTTTCTGGTGGCCATTTTGAATTTGGTGTATTGGTATCAAGAAAATGACGGTTAGATCCACGGTTGCATCCTGTGCTATTTCACAAATCATTGTACACTTCATATTGTATCAAATTAATGATTCACTTGGGTTTTCATTTATTTCACTGTTTCATCGTTTTCTATCGTCGATGAAATTTGGACTCGTCACCTCACTTAACACTGTTTCCTCATCTAGAATGATGGCTGGATGACTTGTGAGATTTAAAGGGTGATCGATGTTAAGTGTTTTGGCATGGCATTACTCTGATACTATGAGGGCTAGGGCAGCCACTATTCACGTGAATAGTGGTTGCCCTTGCAAATAGTATATTTTGTGTTTCCACCCGTTGCCATGGCTTAGGGCAATTACTATTCATTTTTTTGTTTTTTTCACAAATTTTTTTACCTCAATAATTAATTTGGATAATATTTTCGGATAAGATTTTTGGGTTCGTACATGTCAATATTTATTATAAAATTCATATCTCAATCGGATAAAATTTTGGTATTTATAGAAAAAAAAATCAGTAATTTTTTTTTTTAAAATTCGATTTTTTTTCATTTTTTTATTGCACAAAAATTGGCTGCCGTTGGATTGGAGAAAAAAATTTGATCGGAGAGCTCAGAGCATGACACGTGGACTTTAGTGGCACTGTAGCGGCACTGCAGCACGCGAGTACTGTAGCGAGTACTGTAGCGATGACGTCATCCTGACGTCACCCTGGGCTAGGCTGATGGCTGGAACTGCTCTTAGAGCTCCATCGGAGAAGATGTAGCAGAAAAGAAAAAATAAATTATATTTATAATAAATATAAATAAATAAAACTCAACTCTTTAGAGCAACTCCACCCATTTGCCCCTTGTCATGGCAAGGGGGGCGCTAGGGCAGCCACTATTCACGTGAATAGTAGTTGCCCTTGCAAATAGTATATTTTGTGTTTCCACCCGTTGCCATGGCTAAGGGCAACTACTATTCATTTTTTTGTGTTTTTCACAAATTTTTTTACCTCAATAATTAATTTGGATAATATTTTCGGATAATATTTTTGGTGTGGGAAGTGAAAAATATGACTAAGTATTTTTTTTTTTTAAATCTGAAAAAAAAAAAAAATCTATTTTTTTAATAAAAAAATTGTTGCTGACGTCAGCAGCCCTCATTTTGGACCTCAGGCTGGAATGGCCTTCGGGCTAGCCGGAGTTGGTGGGACCCGCACCTTGCCCGGGCTTGGGCTCACCGCTGGAAACTCCTTTTTTGGGTTTTCTCCCCCCAGCCTTGGGCTAGGCTCATGGCTGGAACTGCTCTTATGTACTGCCAATTGTGGATAGGTGCATGAGTGTTATTGGTGCTTTGGTTTGGTTTGGTATATGGAGTCGAGTCAACTCTCTCGGTTTCACTATTTTTCAAAAATATTGGAATTTTATTTTTAGAACATAATATTGAAAAAAGGTTCAAAGCCAAAAAAGAAAAGAAAAAAAGGACCTTTTCAATTATATGTATGGTTCTCTTGATTTCTTCTCATTTGGGGTCGAGCGAAGTTCAATTTGGACCTGTCATATTACCGGAAAGTCAACATTAGTTGGGTTTACTAGTCGCGATTCTATGGGAAGACCAACTGGTTATTGGTGTTGGCTCAAAGTGTATCGATCTTGGCAAATCCTTAATTCATTCGGAGTCCAAACATAATATCAATTTTAGCACTCATCTCTCATAACTCCAAGAGATTTCTTTAAAGCATTTTAGCAAGGAAATCGAATGTTAATGTTTGTTGCAATTCATCTACCACATTTGAAACGAATATGTTTGATGGCTCGAGAATTGGGGATCAGATCTTACCTTCGTAAGTAATTCTATGTGTCAAATGAATAAAACAAGGTTTGAATTGTAAGGTGTATTTGGTGACGGAGCTATACTTATACATATAATAAAATGTGCCAAATTTTATTGAATTACTACATAATGGATGTTAAATGATAAAGAAACTAAGGGGGAAGGGGCATGACAACCTCGGATATGCACTTAGCTCCCAACCATGCTTGTATGCATATATAGCATATGGTACTAATGTTCAAACAAAGATGTTTGATTGCTCAATAATTGGATGATATATTTCTTTCGCAAATTATTCTCAAGGTTCAAAGGAATGTAATGAGGTTTGGTTGTACGCGTATATGAGATTACTATCAACTTTTCAGATGAAGATGTTTGATGGCTTCATAATTGGATGATGTACCTTTTATTATGGGATAGTTCTCAAGTGACAAAAGAATGAAATGAGGCTTGGTTGTATGCAGATCATCTACGGATATTGAGACAAAGATGTTTAATAGAAGTGATTATAGAATACTAGGGTATTACAGATAAGCAATAATTAGATTAAATCAATTTTGAGTGTAAGATGAATGCAAAAGGTGGGGCATTATTGCTATAATTTAAGTTTTTTTCAAGAAAAAATAATAATTGGCCTGAATATTATAACAAAATTAACATTTAAAAAGTGAAAAGAAAAAATTCAAGAAAAATGATTATAATTTTCTGTCTAATAATATTATCTACATTATTATATAATAAATTATGATAATTTTGTATAATATTTAAACAGAGATCGTCCTCTTTGCCTCGTCTCCGCCCCACCAAAACCCCTCAAAGCTGTCCTAAAATCCCTCTTCCTCTCTGCTCAAAACCCCAAGCGTACACTTCACAATTCCGTTGCAGAATCAGAACCTCTGTCTCCATTTCAATGGCGTCGAGTGCCCCGTGGCAGCCAAAGGAAGAAGGGTTCGCGGAGATCTGCGGGTTGCTGGAGCAGCAGATTTCCCATTCGTCTTCTTCCGCTGACAAGTCTCAGATTTGGCAGCAACTTCAACACTACTCTCAGTTCCCTGATTTCAATAACTACCTCGCTTTCATTCTCGCACGTGCCGAGGTAATCCTCTCACTCCACTTCCCCCAATTCTGTCTTCATCTCCAATTGAATCAGTAGGGTTTCTGTATTGTCTTTTTGATTATGTGATTTGGTTGGATAATGGGTCTGATTGGATTGCATACTTAGTCAGAAATTGATAATCGTTTTTTGAGTTGACGGGGGCTTATGGGTTTGGGTTCGATGGAGGGTATGGGTGCCGATGAAGTTGGATTAGAATCGCTTCACATGGCTCATTGTTCTGATTGTTCTGATTGTATTTGGTTTCTATTGTCTTGACTTTGAGAGCGGTTTCATGCTGGTGGGACCAGAAAGCCTTAATTACTTAGAATGTTTGTCCACAAATCCTTGTTTATGTCAAACTTTTGATATACTGGAGTTGATCCTGTGGCATGGTAACGTGTATTGTGAAGAAAATGATTTATTGTTTTTGGCTGTTGGTTAACATAGCGTAACCAGTTTTCAGCTTCTGGGTGCTGATGGAACTTCGAATTTGGGTAACTTTTGGACAGGGTAAATCAGTGGAGATACGACAAGCTGCGGGATTGCTTTTGAAGAATAACCTTAGAAATGCATATAAGTCCATGTCTCCAGCATACCAGCAATATATTAAATCCGAATTGTTGCCTTGCTTAGGAGCAGCAGACAGACACATCAGGTCTACTGTTGGGACCATTATAAGTGTTGTTGTTCAACTAGGGGGAATTTTGGGGTGGCCTGAACTATTGCAAGCTCTTGTAAATTGTTTAGACAGCAATGACCTAAATCACATGGAAGGTGCTATGGACGCATTATCCAAGGTAAACACAATGTCCTAGAGTTTACTGATTACATTCTTTCCTGATTAAATTTTTGCATTTTCCTGAAAGCTTCTTTGCTCTTGTAGCTCTTAAAACTAATGGCACAAATCAGAAACTTATAATTTTTGTGACACCAATGTTGTGATAAAACACAGATTTGTGAGGATATACCTCAACTGCTTGATTCAGATGTACCCGGTTTGCCTGAACGTCCCATCAACATATTCCTTCCAAGGTTACTGAAGGTAATAATGAAATAGCTGTATTGTTTTATAAGTAATCTTGAAGTTTATGTTTTATGTTTAAATACTTATTCTGCCCTACCCTTATAAGCATAGATGAACTCTGAACTTTTACTGATGGTCCTTTTTTTCTTTTTGGCCTGGTTTTCTCAACATGGCTTCATTTTGTACAGTTTTTCGAGTCACCACATTCATCGCTAAGAAAGCTTTCCCTGGGTTCTGTAAATCAATACATTATGTTGATGCCAGGTGTAAGTATTTATGGAAACCTGTTGTTTTGGTACCTTTTGGACCTTATTCTGATGATTGGGGTTGTAGCAATTATGTGTTCTATTTGATTGCAGGCTCTATATGCAGCCATGGATCAATATCTTCAAGGTTTATTTGTCCTCGCTAATGACCCTTCTTCTGAAGTGAGGAAATTGGTGAGTACTCTATCATTACTTTATCTTATCTGGGTTTAATTCTGAAGATAATAGTATTGCTTGGAAATTGAATTGGATATTCCATTTCAGGTCAAAAGATTTCCCCTTAAAATTAACTTCCATTAATGGTTTAATTTTGTTTTCTATTTGGCTGTAAAATCTTCAATATTCACAAATATGTTATTATTATTATTATTTTTAAAAGCCGAAGTCATTGTTGTGGAAGATTTGTTTCTGAATGCTTGAGTTGCCTATTTAGTTGTTTTTAAATGGATTATATTGGTTTTTTTTTTTCTGTGTTCTTTGCATTGGTCTAAACAGATAATATTATAATCATGTCTGGATAATGATCAGTGGGATATTTGAATTGTATTCTTTGTTGCTTTAAAAAAAATAAAATAAAAAGAATCATATACTTTGAAAGAGAAGTTGTAAGGAAGGTGGACAAAGATATCCATCACATTCAGTCTTAGATTCAACAGATAAAGGTCATATTTGATGGACATTGAATGTTATTAGATTTAATAATTTTGGCTTTGTTCTCATCTTTTTCCCCCCTTTTCTTTGTCAAACAGGTTAGTGCAGCATTTGTTCAGCTAATTGAAGTCCGTCCATCATTCTTGGAGGTAACATCTTGTTGTGTTATTCTAGCCTTGTTCTAATCTGTGCCTTTTTTCAATTGTCTATGTGCTACATGCATTTTGCTGTGTCAACAACAGGGTTTAGGACAGA